AAGTAACCCCCGTCCCAAGCGCCTCTAACGGCACTAACTAACGGCACTAACACCGTTTTACAACGAACAAACTGTCAGGGTGGTGTGTGGCACCTTCAAGAGTTCACAGCACGCGGCGACCCGCTTCGTCCCATCCACGCCATCATCACCTTCCGACAGCCCGCAACACCCACCAGCGAGCTGCTCGTACACGAATCCAGATCTAGATTCAGCCATGGATCCGATGTACGTAGCAGCTTCGACCCACGGGTCGCTGGCAGTTCCATGACCCACGTTGGCGGCGGCGGCGGCGGCGGCTCCGCCGCCGCCGCGGCGCCGCCCTCCGAAACATCCCCATCCCTGATCTTTCCTTCCGGACCCGTACCATCACCTCCTGCACCATCGTCGCCGCCGTCAGCTGCAGATGGGACCCATGGGTCGTTCGGAAATCGGAGACGTGCAACGGCCTATGGTGACGGCGGTGGCGTCGGCGTCGTCGGTGGCGGCAATCCCCAGCGACAGAGCTGGGCGGGGGAGCGGTTGGTAGGTACGACAGCGGCGCTGGTCGGACCTGACGGTCGGCCGATGGGCGGTACGGCAGCGGCGCTGGTGGCGTTGGGTGACGGCACTGGGGCCCGCTGGGGTGGCGGCGGCGGCGGCGGCGGCCGGGGACCTGTCGTCGAGCTTCTGGTACGGCTGCTAAGTGGGTGCGGACGGGGGGTTTATATGGGGAAGGGGGATCGGGACGGCGGTGGTGGGGTGAGAAGGCGGGGATGGGGTTTCGGTAGTTTGGTAGCGTGATAGAATTCAGGATCACTTTATACAACTTATCTGTCTTTCTCTTCTTCCTCTCTTCCTCTTTTTCTCTTTTTGTCAGTCCGTCTGTCAGTCAGTCTGTCTGTCTGCCTTAACGGCTCGCCGGGTCTGTGTGACGCCGTCACAGAGTCAATGCCCTTTTTTCATCACCACCATTCAAATCCCCTCTCTCCCCCTCCCCTCATCCTCCCCTCGGGGGGGTTTACAAACCCAATGCGCTTCCTGCCAGGGCGGCGGGTACGATATAATGCTGCCCCGGGGAGCCATGTACGGCGGTGGCGGGACCGGTGTGAATGCCGTACATAACGGCGGTACTGCCGCCGCCGCCATTAGCACCTCTCCCCTCGTTCCCTCCTCAGCAGCAGCAGCAGCTGCTGCGGGGTGGCGGGCGGGGGAGGGCGCTGAGGAGTTTCGCCTGACAGGGTGGCTGGACCTTGCCTCCGGGGAATGGCACATAGAGCGCCGTTGCGTCAATGTGCCGTACGCGCTGTCGTACAAGGTACGACAGTACGAATTAGCGATTTACGTAACGTGCAGAAGTCAGTAAAATACCCACATATGTGCCCCCCGCGCCTCCCCCTAGTTTTAATCCTGTTGGGGGCGTGTCCCCCCCCCGGGCCCCCCCGCGGTGACTTCTTAGAACTTCCTGATGCAGTTCCCGGCTATCTATTTCTGGAGCATCTTTCTATCATCTCTGGTATCACTGGCTTCACTCGCCTGTGGAGAGCCGGCTGGTCATTGGAACAAACCCGCAGTCCTAGCGATCATTCACTGACTTTTCCCCCTCCTCACCCCCCCCCCTTTCACACCCCTCACACCCCTCCCCCTCCTCACCCCCCCCTTCCCCCCCCTCACAACCCCCACCCCCGCAGGGTTACAGTGACGCACGAGGGTGTTGGGGCACATACACAGTGCAGACAGAGCCGGGACCCGCTCCCGGGACCGCGCCACACGCTGAAGGGGGGGCAGCGGCGGCGGCGGCGGCGGCAGGGGGCCCGGCGGCGGCGGCGGGGGGGGGTCTTAGGTCAACGACGGCGTCCACGTTGGGCCCCGGCGGCTCTTCATCCGTACGCCGTCTGAAACTGTTCAGGTAGTAGAACAGGGAGAGAGTGAGGAAGGGAGGGAGGGAGGTCGAGTATGTGTATGTATGCATGTGCGTATGGGTGAACCGTGATATGATGGAGGGTGTGAGGTTGTGAAGTATTGATGATGGGTCGCGTGCCGTACCTCCACGCCATTGCCACGTCATCACCATCATTGATCACCACCACTCCCCCCCCCACACACACACCTGGCCCCCTCCCCCCTTCTGAAACCCCCCTAGGTTGTTCCCTCTTCCAGATTTGTTTCGTTTAGGACGGGTCTCATTTTATTCTCCAACCTAACTAACAAAGTTACTAGGGTTGCCTTAATTTAATCCTTAATTGTGAGGCGCTGGGGGGGCCTCCGCCCCCCCCAGACCCCCCCCCCATATGCTACAACTCCCCTCGTAGACCCCAAGAGAGTCATGCACTGGGTTGGCGCGTTTTTCCGTTCGTGTGTCCGGTCATTGACTTGTGCGTGTTTGGCTATGTGAGGACCGGTCGTACATTCTTCTAAGCCGCGTTGACTCACGGGCGTGACGGGCGTGATTCTTACGGCCCCTCATATCTATTCTATGATTGCAAATACTGAGTTCTGCAAACTTCGGAGCAATCTGGCAGCAATGGACTTTTTTGGCTAGAGGAATGAAAATGTACGGGTCGGCCTCAATTTATCCTTTTTTTACCGAAGGCCAAAATGCCCGTTTATTCCTTTTAAGTAATGTATTACTTAAAAAAAATCCCCCCCCCCCCACACACCCACACACCCACACCGCCTGCCCCCTCCCCTCTCCTGAACCCCCCCAGGTTGTTCCGAGACCCCTCCCTTCCCCTGCCCAAGGACCTCCTGGACCTCCTACAAGCCTTAGAACAACAGCAACGACGACAACAACTGGAGGTGGGGGAGCGGCGGGGGTGGGGGATGACATGACGTATGTCATGTCACTTGCACAATCACCTGCACAATACACACACACACACACAGACATCTTAAAAATCGTAACCGTGTGATTACCCCCCTCTCCCCTCCACCCCACCCAAACCTGCGGCCCCACCTCAACCCCCCCCTCCCTCCCTCCACCGCTTGTTTGAATGCAAAACATTCTTGGGGTATGTGCGGTACTGAATTATGTACTTTGTACGACACTTTCCCTGGCGGCCGGCCGTGCACTGTACGGCAGGATGAGGATCGGAGGCGAACAAGGACCAACCCCGGGAGGAGTGCCGTACAGGATGAGAATGGTGGTAATGAGCACGAGGTCGATGGTAATGATGACGAGCTTGCTGCTGCGGGCGAGGAAGGGGAGGAGCGGGGGAAGGCAGCGGATGCGCCGACGGCGGCGTCTGCGGTGGCTATGGCGGTGGCGGCCGTTAACGAAACTCATGATGTACGTCACTGTGTTGGTTGAAGCGGTTAAGGCGGTTGAGGCAGTTGATTTGGATCCCGAGGAGGATCCCGATATGCCCCAGCTGGAGCCTCTCTACCCTCCTCCCGGCCTGGAGTGATGAACAGCACCACCACCACTACCACCATCACCACCACCATTTCCTCCAGCATACGATTGATGGCATGAGTGAGCGAGTGAGCGAGTGAGTTGGTGAGTTGGTGAGTTGACATAACTGACACAAACATATGCACTATCTGGGAGCTTGTTTTAGTGCACGGAGTTTACTCTTTACCTAGTTCTGAAGATGTCAGTTTCTCACACTGGTCATTGCCACACTTGCCCCCCATGACACCCGAAATATGTACATGTGTATATTCATATAATTCCGTTGGATGCTGGTGGTGGGTGCGGAACCTGAGCGATCCGCTGAGAAGTTGACTAGGGTGACTGGATGAGGGTGCCCCGAAATACCGGGGAAGGCAGGGTTTCGCAGGGTAGCTGCCACGGGCGAAGATACACCCCCCTGTTTCACACATCATATAATTCATAACAGGTAGTACGGCAGTAGGTACGGAGAGGCCCGAGCTGGCGGCACGGGACTGCCGCGTGTTCTCAAGGCCAGTGTCATGCCTTGGCGTGTACGACTAGCAATACGGCAGCAAGGAGAGCGGGGTAGAACTTTTGTAGTGGATATTACGAAAGGAAAAGCACGAGGAGCTAAACCCTAAAACCCTAAGTTTCATAATGCGCTTGCGTCTTTTATGTATGTATGCATGTATGTATGTATGTATGTATGTATGACGTTGATTACACTGTGGGCTGAAAAGCCGGGGGCCCAGGGCCGAAGCACAGCGCGGGGGGCGGGTGCATACGGCTGGTTAGTCTCATGCACTCCGCCCCCGGGTCAGGCCGCACGGGAAACGACGGCCGGCACGCAACAGCGCTTGTTTGGCGCTCCAACTAGACGGGATCTATGCCCGTTGGTCTCCTAACATAAACGAAGTCGCAACTGGGGGGCTCTTCCTGCCGACCGAACGAACCGAGAGCTCGCAACCAGGACCTGGGCGACCGGGAGCCCGACGAGTCATCCCGGGCTGGGGAGGTCACCAAGCTCAAAAATCCTCATGCAAAAAAAGAGCGCAAAGAGCTCACACCACAAGACGCCAAACAGCCTCCTGAGACTACTACCCTCCTCCGCCTCTCCCTCCCTGGGCTAGTCCAGGGGAGATAGCCCCCGTCGGGGGGGTAACACCGCACAAGTCCGCGCCCTTCCACAGCACTGGGTCTAACTTGAAAAGTACTCAAACGGGAAGACCCTGCGGCAACGCAGGGCGATCAAGCCTCCGGAAACAACAGGGGGGGAGGGTAGCCAGCTCGGCGCCCCCCCAATACCGCTCTACCAAGACGGCTGGTTCCCAAGATCCTATCTCACCTAGACGCCGCAACACGAAAAACCCGGTCTCGTACCCTGAAGAACCTAGTCCTGCACCACGCGCGCACCTTCGAGTACGGCCCCTCCTTCTGGGTGCCCACCTCCCCCTCATCCGC